CGTAACCATCGCTTCCCCTTTACCCAAGTGCGCCCACGCTGCCCCGCCGCCGTGATGAGACGCAAGCTTAGGACACCTTTGGACGCGGGCCACCGCACATGAAAAAGCCAACGCCTTATTGATTCGTACTCTGACCCTCCTCCACACACGCAACCATCGCTTCCCCTTTACCCAAGTGCGCCCACGCTGCCCCGCCGCCGTGATGAGACGCAAGCTTAGGACACCTTTGGACGCGGGCCACCGCACATGAAAAGCCAACGCCTTATTGATTCGTACTCTGACTCTCCCCTCTCCCCCCCCCCCTACACGCACACATAAGCAACTAAATAACAACTTTTTCAATGACGCAAACAGGATGTTGTTGTTCTTTTTCTTTGTAAAGTAGAAGTCACTCGCTTGTGTGTGTTGCTGACAGCTGAAGTGGATTAATTTGATCGGTAAACAATTGCGCGCGTTGTTGTGGTGGAAAATATAGCTCTGAAATCCATTTCAGCTTTTTTTTGTTGCTTTAGGGAAGGGAGAGGGGAGTTACTGTGTTTATTTGCATGCGTGGGGTTGTATGTTTCATTTGTTGCCGTATTGTTTGTTTGCTTTTGTTTTTGTATGTGTGTTTGCCTCAGGGGAGAAGGGTGGAAAAACAGAGAAACGTTTTTGCCCGCTTTCACACACCCACACACCGTAGTTGCATGTAGCTTTACATCATAGCCTTTATTATTATTTTTTTGTTGTGTACGTTTGACGGTGCTGCGTGGCATACCGGCCTGTCTGTTTGGTTCATTGTCCACTGTTCTTGCCAGTGGAGCTCCTTTTTAGCGCAAACAGTATTGAGGTATGTGATCTGCTTGGCGTTGTTTATTGGCGGCGCTGTGTTTCGTATGGCGTCTCTTCCGGCGACGATTTACGGCAACTAATGCCTTACCCGCGTGGCCTGTGCGCTGTCTGAGCTGCAGGAGGCGCATCAGGAGTATAAGGCTATCATCGATCACCCCCGTGCAATTATGGGAGAAAAGCGAGTCGCCGCTCAAAAGCTGAAAAACAACCGGGAGCGCATCTTCCGCAGCAACCACACGGACAACTTACGTCTGGTGCTGCCTCACATCGCTGCGCTAGCGTGGTCGTGGTATAGCTTGTGCATTCCGGCCCAACAGCTGGGTGAGCTTGTGGGGGTCACTGCTGTTGCCCCCTCCCGCATGAGCGTTTGTGTGTTGGGCTTCAATGACGGACTGGATGCATGGGTACGGCAGGCGAAGCGGAATATGACTCTCACGTGCGTCGTCCTCGTGGCGGGGACGTTGCTGGGTCAGTGTTGCGCCGGACCCGCTTTTGTATCCTACTTACTTCCACCACAACTTGCACCGGTGTGGCTTGGCATCAGTGTGATGAGTAGCTGCAAGAGCCTTCTCGTGAACCATTACTGCTCCTATGCGGGCGCTTTTTGGCATCCAGGACTACCCGCCGACGCACAGCATGCACGGGGCTTTAGCCACGGCAGAGGGACACGAATACAGACTGGAGTTTACGGGCGTGGACGTGGAGGAGCGGCGGGAGATGTGGCAGAGACAAAAAAAGGCTCTGGATTACGAGTGCAACATGCCGCTCCACCGCATTTTAAAGCACATTGGCCACTTTGACAGCGTTGAGGAAGCCGAGTATGAGGCAGAAAACTTGTAGAAAAAGCTGGACGTGGCTAGAGATCGACGGAAAAGGCGCCAGCAGTAGTCCAGTGGCGACAGCGCGGACCCCTCATTTTCTGTCACTGGCTCCTGCCGTGAGGCGGATATTGTGGAGCCATCAGTCGAGGGTGTAGCGGAGCGCCACTTTGGCGAGATGCAGACGGAGGAAAAGGCGCGACAGCAGAAACGCAGAAGCCTGCGAGACTCCTGAATGCCGCCCACACACACACACACACGTGGAGTGAGAAGGGAAGGAGCGAATGGAAATGCAATAAAGTTATTGTTTTTGTTGTGTTTTGTTTGTCCTTGCGCACGGATCAGTTGAAGCTGTCAGTGTAGACTTGTAGTCGCAACGTCCATATATATATGATTGTTTGTCCACATGTCTGTGTGACCCGAGACATTGTTTTGTTTTTTCTCTCCGTCCATCTATCTTTCCGCGGAGTAAACAGGAGCAGGGGGGATGGGGAGTGCACTGTTTCGTTGGGAGGCCTGTGAGGCTGACGCAGGGGTTGATACCTTTACTTTTCTCGTGGAAGACTCAAACGCGCCCCGGTTTCGTCTCAAGCATGTGGCTGTGGGTCACGCGCAGGACGCACAGTCATGCGAGTTTCGCTTTTACTCTAGATACGTCTTCCTGGAGGTCTTCACGGCGCTGCAGCTGATGCTTGCCATTTTCACCGTGTACCTGTTTAACTACCTGGGAACGGTACGCCACTACTACGCCCCGCTCCTCGGTCTGGAGCACGAGCAGGAAATTGCCTCCTCCGCCTCCTCGCAGGCGTTGAAGGTGCGTATTTCGCACCGGCGCGAGGTATTGGCCCCGTTCTACTTGTCTATCGTTATACTCGGGATATGTTTTACGGTGTTTGTGGCTGCCTACGTTGTGGTGATAAACAGCGCGTGGTGGGTGTCGCTGGAGCTGGCACGCTGGGAGCGCGACCAGCGGAACCGCATGCGGCACGAGACGTCGCAGCACATCCCCGCATTGCGTGCCCTGCAGAACAAGGACGAAACTGTACGATACGACTCTGAAAGTATCAACTGTCGCCTTCGTCGCCTTGGCGTCCGCTGGATCTCGTGTACACGGCCGTACTACGTCTTTCCCCCACGCTACCTTTCTGACTTTGACTATCGACATGCCCTTCATGCACGATTTGGGGCTAACTTCAGTCGCCGAAGTCCAAAGGGTATTCTTTTTCTGCTCACGTCGCCCTTTGTGTTAGTACTCACCGTCATTGATATTATAACCGTCGACGAGATGCGGGTCACCGGAGTGCAGGTCTCGCTGCTCCAAGGGGTGTCACTCGTGGGCGGTTTGCTGCTTCTGCTGCCTGTCGTTTGGCATGCTTGCACAATGCTGTTACGGTGCTGGAGGACATGCCGCAGAGCCTTACTGCGTCAACTATAGTGCATGCGTGCAATGCTACCTGCTGGTGACTTCCTCTCCTTCTCTTTATTTCTCTGTCGTTCTGTGTGGGTCTGTGGGTCTCTCTCTCTCTCTCTGTGTGTGTGTCTCTGCCTGGGCAGAAGACACCTTTGGTTGTTGTTGTTGCTTTGCTTTTTTCTCTTGTTTCCTCTATCAGTGTGGGTAACAAGGGAGGCATGGAGAACTCGGCGGGATCGAATGCCTCCGGATCTTCCAACCAACCCGCGGGAAACACCAAGGAGGACGGGGGGCAGTTAGGTCAGGCAGGGTTTCAGCGCTGCTGCACAGAGTCACGGCAAGGTTTCGCCACCTCGGCGTCGTCTGGTGTACTGCCCGGCGCTGGTGGTGTGCAGCGTCTCACACCGTCTCCCGCAGCGCTGATATGCGGCGAGAGCGACGGGAATAGAATACCGTGCAACACCGTTTATCCAAACTTCACTGCCGCGTCTACCGTGCGGGAGACCAAAGACGGGAAGAGGCTACTGGCCGATGATGCCGTCTCTTTTACTTGGAGGGATTCCATCCCCGAAGGGCAGCAGCCACCCGCCAAAGGCGAGAGGCGGGGAGGAAAAACGGAGGTGTGGACGTCAACTTCGATGGGGCAGCTTGGAAAACATATGCCGCCCTCCTAGTGTTGTATGCTTTGGACGCGTCAACGCAGCGAGCTGCCCATCACCCCGGCGGAGGCTCTGGCATGTTGCGGGAACCATCTTAGTGCGTACGAGAGGCAGGAAATCTTGGGGTTTCCGTGTGTGTATTACTGTGGGGCACACGCTCAAGATGCGACGCCAGCATCAATGGGCTCAAGCGAAGCAACGCCAGTGAAGCAGCAATCCTCTCTGCTGCACTTTGATGATTGCGAACATAACTATCGCATCGTCTCTGGAGACCACGTAGGATACCGCTTCGAGCTTATTGATGTCCTTGGCTGCGGCACGTACGGGGTTGTGGTGCGAGCTCTTGACCATGCGGCCCTGCCCACGCCACAGCAATGTGCGCTTAAAATAGCAAAAAGTATTTCCTGCCACGCCGCCATCTTGAGGCGGGAGGCTGCGATGTTGGAGCTGCTGTGGCAGAGCAAGCCAGCGGCGCGGATGTGGATTCCGCAGGTGTTGGAACGTCTGGTGTTCCGCTCACATGAAGTTCTTGCGATTTAGTTATTTGGGCTGGATGTAAAAACTCTGCTCCGCGTGAACCTGTTTCGTCCGCTGCCCGCAGCACTTACACAGGCCATAACTGCCCAACTGGTGGTGATGCTGCAGGTCTTCGCGGAGGTCAACGTAACCCACGCCGACCTGAAGCTGGATAACATGGTCCTTGTGGATCGAAGCCCGCAGGATGCTGTCTTTTCCCCCGAACTTGAGCTGCGAATGTTTCTAGAGGAGAAGGCACGGAACGGCGTAGGCGTGGACGAGGAGCAAGAGTGTAGAAACTCTTTGGTGCCGAATTTCGTCAAGACTGCATATTCATTGCAGAATTGGACGAAGTATGGCGCAGCGCCTCCTGCAGAAGTGGAATCGGATGTGGAGGATGTTGATGTGGTCACCTCGCGTGTAGCACTCATTGGTTTTGGTGCGGCCTATGTGGGCAACTCTTGTCTCTGGCGGACGCAGACCACCTTCTGTCGTGCTCCGGAGGTGGTTTTGCGCCTTCGTTACGACCCCGCTATCGACATGTGGTAGCTTGGCTGCGTTGCGTACGAGCTTGCCACTGGGATTCCTCTGTTTTGCGCTGAGTCCGACAGCGAGCTTCTTCAGCAACAAGTTGCCGTGCTCGGGGCGCCCTCCACGGAGACAGTTCAGAGGCTGCAGGAGCTCTGCACCTCTTCTACGGACGCCGAGGGGGGAACGGCTGGTGGGCAGCTGCAGGCGTTCTTCGCCTATCTACAGGTGGATGTGGAACGAGATGCAAAACGGTCTCCCTCACAGGCTCGCAATCTCCTGCAGCTTCTTCATCTTCAGGAGAAGGAGGAGGATGCGATGATGCCGAGGCGGCTGCAGCAGTGGCAGTCGCAGGAAAACATGGAAAACAAACACAACGGTGGTGGGCTACCTGAGGCACCAACGACTACGTCAGTGTCAGCAACCGTGTGCGAAGCCAATGCTGGAGCGACGACGGTGGTGCTGTTGTTGCTGTTGGACTTTATTCTTGGCTGCCTAACGTGGGATCCGGCCGATCGCCTGACACCGGACGAGGCCAAGTGCCACCCGTACATTGCGTCGTACTTTAAGGGTGACGTCGCGCAGGGTGATGCGACGACGTCACTGCCGACAACGTACTGCATTGGAACATTGTACCTGCGCACGCACGAACTCACACGCGGTGCCACAGGAATTTTGGAAGTTGCAGGGAAGGTGTGTGCCCACCACCGCTGCGCCACGGGGTCATTAATGGCTGCGCTGCAGCCCTTGACGCAGTTGGATGTGGGCCTTGCCGTCCAACCACTGCGCCGCTTTGCGACGCCGCTGCGTGTCTCTATCAGACCTCTGCGGGCACCACAGAGGGCGGCGGGGAATGCCCGCAAGAGTACACAGCAAACTTTTGCCACCCGATCGAGCATGTTCAGGTGTCCATCTTGTCTCTCGAGGAGTGCTGAGACTGCCGCCTCCCCTGGAGGACGGAGTCGGGGCGGAGAACTGCAGTTCGCTATGTGTGAAGCCCCTGCAACAACAGAAACAAAAAGAAAAATACATATAGACAGATATTTATTTATAAAAAGAAGAATACTAAAAGGAATTGTATTGAATGGGGGAAAGCAGGTGGGGTAGGGAAGGAAATTTATGCAAATGTGAGTTGGTGCGAGCAACGAAATTATTCTGGAGGGGTGTGCGCACGTGGGTGTTGTGTGTCTATTTTTCTATTTTTTTCACGCACTCACACACTCGTTCTCCCTCTTCGCTTCTCTTTGTTGTTGTTTGTTGTATGTTATCACGTTTTTCTCGTCCAAGCGGGGCTCCTTGTGATGTATGGAGCGATGCCTATTATTGTCATCACTGTTATGTACACTTTTCTCTTTATTCGCTTCTTTTTTTTATTATTTTTCTTTTTTGCTACTTTGTTGTAACTTTTGATATCTTTTTTTGGAGTTCTGCCATTTCAGTGTGTGTGTCTGTGTGTGGCTTTCCTACTTGGGGTCTCTAAGTGCCACTCTTCCCAATCCTATGTGCAAAGAGTCCCACTTAGAAAGCGTGTGTCATTCTATCTTTCTCTCTCTGGTGTTGATGTGCACCTTTTTTTTTTTTTTTATGTGTGCGTGTGTTTCGATGCCCCAGGGACGGCGGCGCACGAACGTCTGCATGTATCTCCCAAGTACTGGGACCTCTGCCCCCGAGAAGTGACAAAAACAATGGCACGGTCGCCTTTACTGCCCCACCACCCCCACTCTTTTTGGTACCGTGTTTCTTTGCCGTTGGTGAGGATTGGTTTGATTTATTTATTATTATTATTTTTTGTTTTTTTGTTTTCTCTTTGCCCTTTGTAGCGGAAGCGCGGTGGGCGTTCCCGACACGTCTGAGCCACCAAGTGGTAGAAATAAATGTTACTGTTATTATCTACTTTTTTTTTCACCTATGTGCGTCTGTGTGTGCTTCGCACGCGATCCCTTTCGTCTCTCTTGACATTCGTCTGTTCTTCTCCATCCCTTCTCTTCCTCTCTCTCCCACAAACACGGCCTGCTAACACAGCGGCAGAAACGGCGATTAATGGCGATGGCATCCCCGCTGCAGAGCACGCAGGGGGAGCGGCCCCACAGGGCTGTTGCGCTACTTCAGCCCTGCGACGCTGCCAGGGTCCGCGCGGCACATCACATTCCCTGCTTTGCTGTCGCAGTGGAGGTGGCGTATATGCTGCTGCGCTCACTGCTTCTGCCGAGACCCACACGAGAGATCCGGGTGGTGGCGGCGCCCTTCGCATTAGGCTTCACCGTGGACCTTCTAGGCGCGTATCAGCCGCACGCCGAGCCGGAGGCCGCCGTGTCCATCTCCGGAGGCAGCGGGGCGGCGGCGGGGCTGTCAGATCTCACTGCTGTCAGTCAAGAACTGCGGCTGAGCGCTTCCGTGGAGGTGGCGCTGGGACGCGGGTGTGGAATGCAGCAAACAGCCTGCTCCCCAGAAAGCCTAGAGGTACTCTTCGAGAGGCAGTGGCAAGGCACTGACATAGCAGCGGGAGAGGAGCCTTGGGCTGTGGTTTGTTCCATCTTGACCACAAGGCTGCAGGAGCGGCTGCGGCAGGAGACACGGCAGAAAAACGAGTACCACTCCTCTTCACTACTTCTCCACCTCCGCTGCGAGGTTCGTGGGCTTTTCTACTGTATGCCTGTACGGCAGCGTTTTGCAGCAGGCGGAAGTCACACATCCTACCGCCTTCGCGCAGAACGCCAGGTCCTTCTGTCGACTGCGTATCGCATGGCAGTGGAATGCATTTTGGCACCTCTGTATCTTTCTTTGCACAAAAACGTTGGGACTTCCTCCTCATTGTATCTGCACCTGAGCTGCAGCGGGTGCCAAAATGCGGCAGCCAGCGATACCACCGAGGTCTTCTACGTTCATAACTCCTTCCCGAAACGGGGCGCCGAGGCGGAAGTGCAGTTGACGAAGCGACGTCGAGTGGAGTCGGGAAATCTTGACGATGTGGGTGTTCACACACATAGTCTTCGCACAGCGCATCACGTGCTTCTCGCCTTCTTTCCCCATCTCCGCCTGTGCACGGAGTCGTTGGAAGGCGTCAACGGCACCACGTCGTTGCGTCTTCGCGAGGTGGTGGTTGACGCCGGCAGGTTTGCTGTCCTGTTCCTCCTCCCGGCGTGGGAGCCGCGGAGAGCAACTGGACGGTTGAGCCGCCGCCCCACCACCGTGTTGGGTGCCGTTGTGGTCGCCAAGTCCACAGCATCCACGGCGTGCCACGTGGTGGATGAGTCGCACCGGGTGTATCGCCAAGTGGCGAGCAGCTTCACCACGTTGTGCCCTATCATTGTCTTTCTGACGGAGTCGCTCCTGGAGAGCAACGATGCCGCGCTGCGGAGGGTGTTTCGCTCCGCGGAGCGCATTGGCCGCCGCGGGGTGGCCTCCCCACAGGAGGCAGCCGATACCCCAGGTAAGGAAGCGCCCTTTGCCGTGGTGGGGGACCTGACGGCGTCCGATGGTGCGCTGCTAAGACACAAAGTTGCGGCGGCGGGGCTGCGGGTGTCGTCGTTGACCCAGCGCCTCTTTTCTGTACAGCGGGCAACAAGAACGGGCCTTGTCGATGGCGTCCCGGCGTCATTCGGCCCACGGCGAACGCCTTTTTGCCCACCAAGTTGGGCTGGGAGTTCCTGTGGTAGGAGCACCCTCCCGCGAGTGCGCGCTGCCATGCGGCTGACGCTTGACCCGGCGTTCATTGTACCCCGTGCCTACGCTGCCCCGTCTGTGTGGCCCAGCCCCAGTGAAATGGACACTGTGGAGAAAACGTCTTGCCCTTTTAGCGCGGAACATTTCATTGCACAATGGGACCGCAAGTTTTTACTTCTTCACATGAACGACAATGGCGCGTGTTCAGAAGACTCTCTTTTTACTGCCAACAGATCTCCTCCCTCCGTTTTATCCGGTGCCTTGCCAAACACGGGGCTGTTGCTGCGTTCGTCTAAGCAGCCGCAGCGTCAGTATCCGCTTCCACCCGCACTGTACATTGTGGATCAGCATGCTCTTCATGAACGGCTGCGGTTGGAGTTTTTCATGGCGACTGCAGAGTCGTACGTGCAGCATCATACTGTACCTCTCGCATTTCACGTCCCAATACCAGATGATATTCGCCATGATGTCACGGCCTACGAAAGCGTCCTCGCGACATGGGGATGGCGCTTTGCACACGGCAGCTCCCAATGTGGTGGGAGTGGATGTACAAAGGCGTCAACCTCCAACCACACCCAGGCGGTGCGGTACTGCGTCGCAGTCCTGCAATGGCCTCATATTCTGCTTGAAGGGCATTCGTTACACCTGGACACCATGGAGAACCTCCGCATCACCGTGGAGGAGCTTCTCACCGTCCTTCCACCGCGACATCCGTCTGCCGCAGGCGGGGCAGAAGTCGCACGGGACGGCAATTGGACAGGGCAGGACGCTGGTGCTCGAGTTTTGCCCTCTGCAGTCCTCAGATTTTTAATCACACGATCGTGCCGCGGTGCTGTAATGTTTGGTGACTCCCTCCATGCAGCTGCAGTGGAGCAGCTCATCGACGCACTGCAGGCTGTGGCACAGTACACGCTTTGCTCACACGGCAGGCCTTCCTTTGCCGTCATTCGCAGACACAGAAAGTAAACAGGGCAGAGGAGCATCATTACGGCTGCTGCTGTAGTGTTATGACCATTATTTTTTTGACCTTTGCGGCTGCCACAACAAAGCACCACCCACAAAAAAAAAGAGTTTCTTGCTGCACCAAACCCAATATTTTCGCTCCCTCCAGCCGAAAGAGTTGCTACGCAAGGCGGCCTGATATTTCTTTCAGAGCCTCTACTCCTACTCCTGATGTGTGTTTCTCTCTCTCTCTCTCTCTGCCCCTCGCTGGACTGTGCGTGTGTGTGTGTGTGTGTGTGCTGCAGTGACAAGATTGAGGATGGCTGGCCGTGCGCTGTTGGTGTGCGCACTCTGCGTGCTGTGCTGTGCTGCGCCGCTGGCGGTGTTTACACGTGGCACGACTACTGAAATGAAAGTGACTGGAGGGACTTGAGGGTGGTCGCGAGAGGCATGACGGAGGCGGAGATTGAGGGGCAGTACTGCGGCCGCAAGCCGGAGTTTGTGCAGGGACTGCGGGCGAGTGTGCAGGAGGAGGGGGAGACTGTTTCCGGTACGACGCCGGGAGGGACGAACTCCACTGGGGAATGTGCCAGTCTCACAAGAAGGAGAATCACCGTCAAGCGGTGACAGCAACAGTCAACCTGTTAAAGAGAAAGAAAAGACTGAGCAAGATGGTACTAAAGGGAGAAAAGAGGAA